TACCTGCTGTCTCTCTGTGCTGCCACTAGATGTCACTGCTTCTCTTCATAAACAAGCTGATGTCAGGAAGCCGCCCTAATGAAATAAGCTCAGAATGTGGATGGCAGTTACATCTATTTAAATAAAAATATAATGGTTCGATATTTGTGTTCTATTCACAGGGACCGAGTGAATAGATGTAATTCACATCCACATAAAGGAGACTTATCATCCATCTTCAAGGTTTGCATTTATTACTGAAGTATATTTTCTTTAATTTTATCTAAATTGACATACATCTTCTACAGATGCACAATAAGTAGTTTATCCTGTCAAAGAGATGATATTTACAACTAATCCTGCGTTCCGTTTACCTCGGAGGTCGGAAGTCGGAGCTGAGAATGATATCACACCCAAGTTAACCTCGTTCCAGGACAGCAAGTCGGAAAGACATTTAGCAAAACCAGGGACCTGAAATCGCTTGAATAGGGACCTGGTTCAAACAGCAGAGTTTCTTGCTTAGCCAGATAACTCCTTGTATTTAATGTGCCCCAGTTTAAATGGCCTTCATCTTCATTCACTTATATTTAGCTCAGACTACTTTAAAATCTTTTATTTATTATTTTATTATTCTTTATTAGTTGTTCGGCTAAGCAAGAAATCCTGCTTTCTGAAACAGGCCCCAGTTCTAGCCAGGTTAATTGTTAGTCATTGTTAGCAATACCAGTTGATAACACATTACGTGGTGTTTTGCACATGAAAACACCATAGCAACACGTCCACAGAAAGGGGTGTGTGCAACCAATTTAATGAGCAACAAATAGTACAGAACTGCTTATAAACACTGTAAAACTACAGCTTTAACTTCTGTTGATAAAGGGTGCAGCCATTTTGAATTCTGAGGTCGAGGTTGTGTAGATTCCCCCGACTTCATGAGTTGGAATTCCGAGTTCAGGGGGCGTTCCAGTTGAAATTTCCCACTAGGAACTCCAAATTTCCAAGTTACAAGTTGAAATGGAACGCAGCATAATTTACAAATGAGGTTATAAAAAGATACAGTGCCAGGAGTGATAATAATTAAACTGTAACTGTTCATTTCAGCTACTGGAGAAAAAAGTTCAAACGTTTCTGAAGGATGAGCTGATGAAATTCAAAAGGTACCTGGATCAGAATGACCCAGAATCCTCTGAACCTCAGCTGGAGGAAGACAATGACCTGGACAGTGATGGTCAGATGCAGAAGACCTGTGGTAGAGAGGGAGCTCTGAAGATCACACTGTACATCCTGAGGACCATGGAGCAAAATGATCTCGCTGACTTGCTGGAGAAGAGTAAGAGCTGTACCTCATTCAGTGTGTGTTTGATTTGCCGCAGAAAAGGAGTTTATGAAAAAATGTATTACATTTCAGTTTATCATATATTTAATGTGATTTAATTTGGCTTAAATGAGTAAAAAATGTTTTTTGAAAAGCTCTCATTTCATTTCAGGGCATCTTCTGTCGCAGTATCAGCGCACAATCAAATGTAAGCTGAAGCAAAAATTTGAGTGTGTATTTGAAGGGAAAGCTAAGGAAGGACAGCCAACACTTCTCAAAGAGATTTACACAGAACTCTACATAACTGAAGGGGGAGCTGGAAGAGTCAATGATGAACATGAAGTGAGACAGATTGAAACA